TATATTATTATATATACAAACATATACAATTGTAAAAATATAATTTTATGTGTGTACATAGCTGTGTGTACATGTACATATGCATGTGTATATAATAATATATATTTTTAATATGTATCTCTCAACAAACTGTGGAGGGTCTTATTTGCAAAAGAACAGTGCACCAAGGAGCCAAAATTCTTCCCTGTGATTTACAGAACAGTGTAAAAGAAGTGCCAAAAGGCAAATTTCACTTTTAGGTGACTCTGGTGGTATTTGCCCAGGTGCAGGCAAGAAATTATGTGCTGGAGCTCAGGGATGGGAAACAAAGCACAGAATAAACTGGTGGATTCTGGGCAGTGCTTGGCGGGGCTGTGCCATGCGCCAGCAGTGCTAGAGACAGCGCTGATGGGTTTTGCTGACTGCTGCTGGCCTGGAGATGCTGCAGTTAGAAGTCAGCCTGAGCTAGAAACAAGGCAGTTGTTCCCAGGAGGGGCTGAGGTTTACAGAGCCAGTGGTAGGACAACTCTGTCTTGTGGGGAGGTGCTGCTCTCCAGTCCCTTCGTGCTCCTCTGACCACGCTTGTCACCTCCCTCCCTGCACAGGTCCGGCTGAAGATGCTCTATGCTGCCACCAGAGCGACAGTGAAGAAGGAGTTTGGCGGGGGGCACATAAAGGATGAGATGTTTGGAACGGTGAAGGTATGGTGATGGTTCCTGGGTAGCCTTTTGGGTTCAACGCTGAGCTTTGGCAGCCTATTCCAGGCTCGGTGCTGAAGCTGGGTGTGATGCGTATGCTGGCATTTTGTCAGGAGAACAGCACCAAGGTTTGTTCCCCACTGTCCTGGGTGGCTGTTACCACTTTCTCCTGCCTGCACGGCTGTGGTCCATGGTGGAGACTATGGAAGAGGTGGGAGGAAGGCTTCTAGGAGCTCCTGAGCTTTATGCCAAGTGGGAAAAGAAGTGCCAGGGGGTGGCAGTGTCACTCCAGCAGCGAGAGCTTTATTCGGCTGCCCTGGGGGGGCTTTCTCCTTATCTTCTGACACAGCCATGGGTGTCTGGGGAAGGGGCAGGGTGGTCTGAACAGGCATGGGTGGCCGTGGGCACTGTTTAAATTAAATTTAAAGCATGGGATTTGCATGGAGGCATCCAAGAGCACTGCTCGAGTTGATCCTTTTGGTAAGGAGAGAGCCCAAGACCCACTAGGTTGCTCAGATGCAGCTTCAAGGCTGGGGGTGCATCCAGCCCTGCAGCAATAACCACCCCTGACACTTCCCCTGTCCCTCTGCCTGCAGGAGGACGTGTCCCTGAGTGGTTACCAAAAGCACGTGTCGTCCTGCTCTGCCCCAGCCCCGCTGACCGCAGCCGAGCAGGAGCTCCAGCAGATCCGCATCAATGAGGTGGGTGTCTGCTTGCCCAGGGAGAAGGAGACTGAGACCCTCAGAGCACACAGGGATGTGGAATACAGGGAGCAAGCATCTGAGCATCCCGTGGTGGCTCATTTGTACTGTGCTCTCTTGTACCTCTGCAGTTTAACCGATTCCTGCCCTTGCTGAGTGGACCGAGCATCCTCATAGTCAAATTGGTGACATAAAGAGGAATTTACAGACTGATTTTTTTTCCACTTGCTAGGACATGAGCTCAGGGCTCTGTCTTGCTCACTGTAATCGGCACTCAGAACATGATCTGAGGCTGAAAGCAGGCAGCAGTCTCTAACCTCTAGGTGCTGGGGCAAAAGCCAGAGCTGAGTTTGAAGTTGTGGGGGAGACAGGAAGAATTCAGGCTTATCTTTGGGCTGCACAGCATCCTTTCCCATGCTCTTTCTCTATGGCTATAAAAATGAGGGATGCTGTCCCAGGAAATACAGATCTTAGCTAAATTTGGGGGCTTATGCACTGGAAAAGGATGTGGAAGTGACATAGGGTTGGGTTGGGGGCAGACAAGGCTGTAACAGCATTGTCTCTCCAGTGGCATCGCGTGGCACTTGTGGTGCTGTGAAAGACAAGGCAGGGAAAGGCATCCTACTTGCTAGTTGGAAAAACCACCCGGAAGTAGTATTTGTTGGGGTGGCGGGATTTCACTTAGATGCTGTGGAAAGCCTTCCTCTCTAGAGGAGCATCCTTCACTCTTCTACCTTTGCTGGGGCTGTGAGGCTCATGGGTGGTCAGTTGAGGGGTATTTGGGAGATGCTACCAAGGGGTGGTCTCCACTGAGTGGGTCTTAGCATAGATATCCCAGCTCCCAGCCTGGAGGGGATTGATTTGTGCTGGAGGATCCAATCTGGTGCCCATGCTTGGGGAAGAGACAGATGCTGATGGTGGCCCTGCAGCTTGTTTGCCATCTTTGGGCATCTGTGCCATTGCCTTGGCTGGCCACTGCTGTAGGATTAAGTAGTTTTGGAGGGGTTTTTTGGCTGTGTCTTGCAGGGTCATACGGCCTACATATGTGGTTGTGGTGCTTGTTTCTTAGTTGATCTACCATGCTCTGCTTCCCACTACTTGCCTTTCCAAGTTGAGATGCAGCTCCTGGGTGAAAGTGCTGCTGCCATTTGGTTTCACTGGGCCACAGGGCCACCGGAGAGAAAAATGGGTGGATTTTTGCCTGTGGATGTATAGATGGGAAGCAGCCAAGCAGTGGGTGTGCTAAAGGATCTCCGTATTGGTGCAGGGACAGCACCTGAGCACAGAGCAGGAGGCGATGGGAGCTCAGTGCCATGCTCACCTCTCCAGGGGGGAAACTCATGGCTTTGAGTAAGTGCAGCTTCAAGTGAGTTTCTGGAGCCATGCAAGGTGGCTGTATAGGAGGAGCTCCCTGAACACCCTGTTCAGTACAGCAGTGCCCCCAGTCTGCACATTGCCTGCAGGCTCACAGCGTCCTTCCACATTGTGCACAGGCTGCGAGGTCCTTGCACACATGTGCATGTTGCAGTTTCATTTGGAGGAGCAGACCCAGGGTGTGGGAGCCAGCAGTGAGGGCTGACAGCGGCCTGGGAAGCAGTCCCCATGCAAGACCTGACCTCAGTACTTCCACATATCTGCCCATGCCCCTGCTGGCAGTTCAGGACCCTTTGCATCCCCTTGGGTTCAACGAGTCTGTTAGGATTTGGGAAGTGACACAAGGGACATGGTGTCTTTAAAAGCCACCAGCTCACAAGAGCTTGCTGTGCCCCTCACCTGGAGCAGCTGGTGGTGGTGCAGCTCTGCTCTCCTCTAATGTTGTTGATGCACAAGCCTCTGAGATGCTGACCAGGTTTGCATCCTTCACCATGAAGGTGACTGAGTTTCTAGGCTGGCAGAAGCTCCCTTGGGATCCTCCTCAACCACCAGATGAGTGGGGAGAAGGGGCATTAGGGGAAGAGCAGTAATAAAGCAGGAGCAGGGAGGTGGTGGCTGCATGGCAGCAGCTTCAGGGCTGGCAGAGCAGCCTTTTACACTGATATAGGAAGGACTCAGGTTTGTACATCGCCTGGGAGGGTGCTCAGCCTTTGGTAAAGCAAGTTTTAGGCTGCATGAGCCAAGCTTCCCCTGTGGTTTGATGGATGGGCAGAGGCAATGTCGTGAGCTACCCTCCTGCTTGATCACTGGGTGGGAGCTCACAAAAATTTGCCATTTGCTTTAAATATATATATGTATGTATGTATGCATGTATTTTAAATAGCTGGAAAATGCGCCGCCAGCTTTATTGAGCTGGAAGTTGTCAGCAGACTGTGGGCTAGGAAATGGCTTTGAATTTGGCATTGAGCTCCCTTAACACCCACGAGTGGGAAGTCTTTCTAGAAGCATCACAGGCTCAGAAACACAGAGGGGAGCCAGTGGAGGAGAGGAAGGTGGCTTTGGAGCTGGGGATTGAGGCAGAAGAATCAAGAGGAACTAAAGGTGGCTGTGCCATTGCAGCATGTAAGGGGGTGTCATTCATACCTGCTTCACAGTGTTGGTGGTGGGTAGAGCAGAGGCTTTGCCAGAACCCCACCATGAAGGTTTCGTCATAAGATAGAAATGCTCATTAGCCAAGGTCAGCACCATGCCAGCAATGAGGAAAGAGGAAACTTAACCTAAAGAAAAGGAGATAAAATACCCCCCCAAGCCGAGCCTACTGCCAGCAGGGCTGGGGTGAGGCACGTGCTCAGCAATCCCATGCATGGGCTGTCCCCTGTGTTTCAGTGGGCCTTGAAACTTGCTAGGAAAAGTTTCCACATCTTGGGATTTTTGGACTTCTGTGTGTTTCATGTTGCAGCTTGAAATCTCTCCAGTCCCGCTGTAACCCTCCCAGCCTCATTTTTACTTTAGGGGAGAAAGATGAGGATCTGCAGGCATTGGCAGTGGTAGTGTCCTTGCACTGCACCTCTCCACAGCATAGGACCGGGAGAGCTTGTCTATGTCCTCTGAACCCCTGTACACTTGCCCTCAGGCCCTAGCTAGTGCCATGGCATCTGAGGGCTGATGGTAGGACAGAGCTTGGGGGTCAGCCAGACCTCCTGCCCGCCTGGCACCACACAACCATCGAGCAATTGTTTCCCAAGAGCTGCGCAATCACACCCTGTTCATCCTCCAGGATGCTTGGCATGGATAGAGGCTTGGCCATTTTTCCCCCTCCAAACTTTAGTATATGCTTTTCAGCAGAAGATGGCCCAAAATCTATTGCTGCAACTGCAGAACCTCCTCCAGACCCTGGGTTGGGGTCACCCTGGTTGGGGAGCCAGCAGTTGATGGGGCACAGACATGGGAACATCACTGGAGATGCTGTGTGCAGGGCTGCCAGGGCCTGGGCCCGGAGCTCTCTGTCCTGCTCCTGCCCAGTCCTGATGTCTGCCCTGTAATTTTTTGCTGCTGTTCCTGCCTGCTCTGCCAGGACCCACCTTCCCTGGCCTCCAGCAGAGTGATGGTACACCTCCATCCTCCTGGCATTCATGTGTGTAACCCAACCCTCC